ACGAGGGACTGAAAAACAGATTTTTTAGCAATGGAACTAAAATCTGAGTGACTCCATTATCTGAATCGTCTCCTCTGCTTCTTCTGAGGGTATGGTCTCCAAGGAGCTCACAAAAGACTCATGGAAAAGGCCCACAGTGCTGGAGCAATGTTTGCTATCTCCTGCAGAGTTGTCTCTGTAGGTAATGAGTAGTGTAGGAAAAATGACACAAGCTCGCTCTGACCAGGATTTTGGCAGTGGATCAGGTCAGAGGTTGTGCAAAGAACTTGTGGAAGTGGCATGACCTGTAAGAATGCATTGGGCAGGATACCTGTGCCAGTGATGCACACATCCATGAGCTCTGCCTTTTCTGGCAACTGACACTGCAAGGAGAGCTAGGCGAGCCTGACTCCAAATAGAATGGAAACCCTCAAGTGCTCGTAGTAGTCATGACATTGACTCAGGGGCTTACGGAATTAATGACTTGCTGCAGTTCATGTCCAAAGCCAAATCCTTTATCTGATCATTAATTTACAGCCAGTGCCCACAGCACTGATTATTGTTCCCTAGAAGAAATCTTCAAATCCAGCCAAAGAATGCTTCCCTCTCAGATGCCCATTGCAAAGCTGAAAGCTGGATCTTTTTGTTCACTGCAGGTTCTCAAGAAGGAGGTTAGTTAGTTTCAAAATGCTTTTTCTTTTCTCTTACAAATCCTTTTTTTCTCCTACCATTCACTATGATTACATATGGTTGGCCAACAAATTTCATAGGTACTTATTTTACTGGTTTTGACTGGGATAACGTTAGTTTTCTTCCAAGCAGCTGGTATGGTGCAGTGATCTGAATGTGTGACCAGAAGCTTGGGGAAGAGAGAGGAAGGAGAGGATGTCAGGGGTGAGGGTGCTTGTCTTCCTGAGTCACCTTCACATGTGCTGGAGCCCTGCCATCCTGGCAATGGCTGAACACCTGCCTACCCATAGAAATCTTGAATTAATTTCTTGTTCTGCTTTACTGTTAAATTGTCTCTATCTCAACTCACCAGTCTTCCTACTTTTGCCTTCTCAATTTTCTTATGTTCCCCATCCCACTCTGGGGGAGAGGTGTGAGTGTATGTCTGTGTGGGCTGAGTTGCTACCAAGGTGAACTCACAGCATGAAACAGCAGCTGAGACTTCCAGTTCACCCTGGGGATTTTCTCAGGCAAAAAATTCAGCATTTTCTCAGGATTCAAAAGATACTCTCCACTTTCTCCTGCTCCCAGAGTTATCTCAGACCATTCTCTCACATTTTTTTTTTCCTCAGAGTGCATTGTGATAACTGAATAAATGCAAAATTGGTTGTTTTAATCGAGAAGAAACTGAAAAATATGTTTTGTTGACAGCATGTGCTAGAGTAATAAGATCCAATGCTGCTGCTGTAGTAATTACAAGTGAAATAGTCCTTCACACTACAAGACACTCTGCAGGCTCTGTTTATTCAGATGGCATAGTGTCCTTTTGGTCTAAAGCAATTACTTACATTTTCCACATAACAATTTCCCAAAGATGCCTTTGAAAATTTCTAAAGACAACATGTATTTAATACTTTAATATAAGCAGGTTTGATTCAATACAGATTGTTCAGAAGCACCAAATATCTGTGGATGTATCTTAGGTTGTATCTAAATTTGTACTTCCGTGCATAGTTCTGTGTCTGAAAGCAATCCCAAGCCACATGGTCTGTGAAACAGCACAGGGAGCTTAGTAGAAATATAAACCATGTGAACTGTGATGCCACTAAATCACAGATCTTCCTTTTGTCTGTTTTGATAGCCCTTGATCCTCCATGGACGTGGAAGTATTTTTCAGTCCAGTAACTGAAAAATAAGGCTTCTTTGGATTCTGGAAAGAAAAATATTCTGTTTAAATCCATCCCTCTTTAATTTTGTTTTCAGACACTGTCTGTCAGTCTAGCCTTTGAAATTAGCACAAATACCCATGAGAAATTTAATCCTGCTCAAGGCTCTGAATTAAATACATTGCAGCCGATAAATAGTTGCCCTTTGACTTCTAAATGATGTTTAATCTTTGAAGCAGGTACAGTAACCTTGGGTAATCTGCTCATCAGTTTTCTTGGTTAAATAAATGAATATATTAGTTTCCTCTAGATTTCACTATTTTATAATAGCAATGGGAACATAAAATCAGCACCACAAAAAGAACCCAAAACTCTCTGCTATGCTTTGTGGAGTCTATTAACAAGCTTCGGAAAAAAGGGTCATTATTGCCCATGACTTGCCCATGAGTTGACTTTGTGCTGCCCAGGGGGACAGTCACTGTTCTAGGGTGAGGGAACTCTACTTCAGGCATGTTAGGTCTGCCTTACCCAGGTGTAACTGCCCAGCAGAGCTGGTGACTCTTGGACTGGAAGGACCTGTGCTTTGTTCTGGGCCACAGGGGACACTGAGGCTGACACCCTCCTTCTGCTTAAGGTGGAAATGATGTCACTAAGCTTCTCTTTTCATGCTTCACCCATTCCTTGTCTGTATGTCAACATCCCTGGCCTTGCAGTTAATTGTTGGACATAAATTTACTTGGAATAAAGCACAGAAAAAAGATATGACCACTTCAAAAGTTTAAAGGACCGATGTAAGGAAGATTAGTTAAAAGATACTTTTAAAAGATACATATTATTGAGTATGCTCAGAAAAATCTTCGTAGGAAGCCAAAATAAGGTTAGTATATTTAGATGTAAATACTTTTAAAATTCAGATTCAGCTCACTTAAGTAACTGACAGAACCCATTGTACAGCCCATAGAAGTTGAGCAGTTCATAATTTAAAGATTCTCCTCTTTTTTCCAAGCAAATCAGGAAACAAAAAATAAGCTTATGTAAAACAAAGTGTTACAAATGAACCCAAACACAGCAATCTCAAAGGCTGGGAGCCTCTGTGTTCATGAGATGGTGTCCCACTGCAGTATCTTTGGGCAGGACACTGTTACGCGTTTTTCTCAATGTGGGCGAATATACTCAGTTTGCCTTCCTTATTATGCAAATCATCAAAATTATTGGAGCATATACAATTACCTGCCTCAAATTCATACTCATGTGGGACTTACAGGCAATGAAGAAACTGTAAAATTCATTGCTTAATGGAAGTTATTGATTATTTGCAGAGATGATTTATGGAATTACAAGGGTCTGACATTCATTGACCACCAAATTACCCTTTGAATTATTCAGTACTTTAGAGATTATTTACTGACCTGCTGTGACCTAACCTGAGCTGATTCCTGCAGCAGCACAGAGCACTGCCTGCTGCTGTGGTGCATGTAGGACACATGCAGATTTTACATACTGTTGGCAGTAAAAACAATTAAATATTGTGTTATGTTATACTATGTTATATGATGCTATGTTGTATTATGCTATAATGTAGCTATAATACAGCTATATTATATAGCTATAATATAGCTATAGTTATATAGCCATAATATGCTATAGTACCATATATGCTATGCTATGTTATGCTATGCTATATTATGCTTTGCCATATTTATTTTGCCATATTTAGCTATATTTTGCTATATTTATTTTGCTATATTTTGCTATATTTAGTAGCACTATAGTGAAGGTCATATCATTCAAGATTTCTCTTATTCTTTTCCAAAAAGAGAGCAAGTTGCCCACACCGCTAATCTATTAAGGCTGAAATCGGGTTAGGTCCCTGTTTGCCAAATCTAACAAACAAAGCCTGGCATTTTTGAAAAGGCAGAAGAGGTACACTGTACTTTCATCAGCTTGGGTGGTAATTATCTGCATCTGGCTCCTAAGGAGGTTTTGTGACAAAGCAAGCAGCTTGGACATGCTTAGTGGCAGTATCTCTGGCACTAGCTCTGTATTCCAGGAGCCCGTGCTTGCTGCAATAATTGTGGTGGTTTTTTTTGGTTTTTTTTTTTTTTTTTTTTACTTTTGGTTGACAAGTAGATCTCTGAAAACAAAGAACACCACAGAAACTTCCCACCTCTTTTTATGTAATACTCAGAGATTAAATAGTATTTGTCATATTTATAAGAAAAAGAAAATGGAAAGTTTTGTTCTGGATGTCAGACTATGTTAAAATGAAAGCACTTTCTTAGTCTATCATGCTAAATAAGTGAGATTGATGGGGGATTGCTTTTTAGAGAGCCACTGAAATTTTTAGAAAATGATCAAACTTTCAGAGAGACTCATGCCGGAGTTAGTGATCCTGATAGAAGCTGTCCACAACTCAAGGTAATTGGAGAACAATCACTATGCAAAGATGACAAGCTGAAGCAGGTCTAGGCACATGGATGGAAAAAGAGTATTGTGTATGAAGCATTTTGGTTCAGGTGAAGAATTCCACCCAGCTATACAGGTGACATTTACACAAATTCATAATTTGCCTGGAGCTAGACTTGCCCTATTAGCATAAGGAGAAAGAGTATTACTTTTTAAAAGTTTTTATGAGTTATTGTGAGAAATTATTCAGAAAGTGTGTTCCTTCCCAAGTCCCAAAGTGTGTCCCAAAGTTTTTCATGGTGCCCTTTTTCTCATGTGATTTTACTGGTGTAATTGTTAGGTTAGTTGCATAAGTTTCCCTGTAGTTCCTAAAAGGGACTTTAAACTGGGGCAAACTTTCCTGTACAGGTGTGTATAGCAAGCTGGCAAACCTGCAGGATTTGAATTGTGCCTTGCCAATGTCCACAGAAAATGAGGAATCTCTGAATTTCCCATGACCATGCTATAAACCAGTGGTTTATCTAAAGCTGAAGGGAAGCGTGCACAGAATAAATTTCTTCCTAGGTGTGTTACTAGAACTTGCTCTTTAGACTGTCTCTCCTAACTCCACACTCTCCCTGTATTTGTAACAGATTCTGCTGGTAAATATTGTGATTGGCATTATACTTATCTGAATAAATTATAGTTATTCAACTCCTTGAAACAGATAAACTACAAGTATTTGGATTTCAGAACAGCACAAGAAGTGCTCTTCTCTCCCTGTCCTTGACATTCACTGTCTTCAGGGGACATCACAGATTCTGTGAACAATCCTAACGATTAGGGGGTTCTGACCTGTGCTGCTCATGGTGTTGCAGGTGCCCAACCACAAAAGCAGAAAGTGTTTAGGACAGAGTGCTATCGGATCACGGGCCTCCGGCTCTCAGGCTGCTGTGCTAGCCCTGCCCCTGGGGCCAGAGCCGTCCCTGCTTGTGCCCGTTGCCATCAGGGTCCCGTGGCTCAGGGAGCTTCGTTTTCTTCCTGCAGATCAGTCCTGCGTTCAGAGCGTGTGGGTGTGCATGGATGTGGAATGTCAGGTGCCCTGATCAGTCCTGCCGAATTTCAGGATTAGTAACTGGTAGCTCAGTTGAACGGTTGGATTTCTTCTCTGCTAGCTGTAATTTCAGCTGGGAGGAAACTGCAGGGAAGCAAAGCCGGGGATCCAGTGGCCGTTAGGTGGTGCCCCTGTCACGAGTAAAAAAAAAAATAAAAAAAATAAAAGCTGTACTGTCCTCATTTTAGTAATGCAAATAGGAGCAGCTCTAAGAAGGGAAGTGTAGCGGAATATTAAGTTCTAATCTGGGAGTACGTGAAGTGTATATATGTGTGTGTGTATATATATATATATATATATATATATATATATATATATATGTACACTGGTAGAGGAGATTTTGGCCGTTGTTGAAACTCTTGAAACAGTCTCTTCCAGTTCAGTTTGGTCTGTTGTCTACCTTCACTGCAGCCTTTGTCCCATGGTTTGTCCTGTGGGTGCCATCTCACCCCTAACCATCCTCACTGCAGTTTGTGCCAGTTGTAGAGAGACATTTTACACACCACACCATGCTTTCTTCTGCATCACTGCCTAACTTATGTATTTCTCTCTGCATTATTTTGGGTTTTGTCATTTTTTCTGACCCATTTTAAATCCTGATGTGCCTTGCCTTGTAACCTACTGATAGAAATGCAACATTATAAAATTGCTTATTTGCCTGTATTTTTGTCTGCTTTTAATTGTTGTTGTCTGCCCCTTGCCCAGTGGTGAAAGGACATGGCTATTATTCAGTAGACTGAATTCAACTCATGACATAATCTGTCTAGTTGCAAGTGACCCACAGAATTCAATGTGATGTCTTTTTGCAGGCAATTTACAGTCACCTGTCACTGTTTGCTGTGTCCTGAGGCTTAGCTCATGGCACAAGGTAAGTGAGCCAAATCCTGAACCTTTCCTAGTGACAAACAGTGAATGATGTTCAGAGCTGCTGACTACCTGCATGAGTGCTCATTTATTCCTGGCTCCACAACGGCACGTGAACAACTTGTTCCATTCAAAGAATTTTGCCTGCAAACAGGGAATATTTTAGCGAAACAAATGTTTCCCTGACTTGGATATTTTCATTTCAGCTGCTTCCTAGATAAGCTCAACAGTATAGCTTAGAAAAAGGTGAGGTGCGGGTACTGCTAAGGATGATTGTGGCTGCTTGCTTTAGAACATATTTTACTTTTTTAAAAAAACAAGCAACTGTATTTCCTGTCCATGGGTCCAGGACATTCTGACCAGCTGTACAAAAACAGCTGGTAAGAGCAAAGACCTGGGGAGGTACCTTGTGCTCCTGGGTTCCAGCAATTGTAGGAGAATCAACAGCCTCATTTCTCCACACCAGCTTTTCCATTAGCATAATTGAGAATAATGAACTGAACCAACAACCTTAAGACTGACTAATAACTACAGCTTCTCTGGTGATGAAAAGCAGTCCATATCCTATTATTACCAGATCAATGTGAATAATTTGCAGACATTCAACAAAAGCTACCTATTGCAGCAATTTCATTATAGTTTTTAAGTAAAATTTAAACAACTCAATTTTTATTATTTAAATATTATGGGTTTGATTTAGTCTCTTGAAACATTCAGAATTGCTATTATTTTTATAAGTTGCTTACTTATACTTACAGAAACCAGAACCTTGTCCTAACTGCCTTGTTTCTTGCCTTACATCACTCTCTCAATCCCTAAGATTGCTCTTGTGAAATGTGCACAACCCTGAGTCTCAGCATGGGACAAGCAGAAGCAGCAGCTGCTGCTGCCACTGCCATGTATGCCTCCTCTCAGAGAATTACCCACCGTGCTGGCTTCCCTCTTCTGGGACTGTTCAGTGTTACTGGTGAGCTGCTTAGGAGGAGAGAGTTTCTGTAGTTCTTCTGGCCTTGCTGTCATGGAAAACCATCTTCCCTCCTGCACACCTGCTGGGAATAAGCCACAGTATTCAGCGGGAGTGAAGGAACAAAACAGCTGTCATTTCTTTTTGAAATAGAGATAAAATCACCTGCAAAGTCAAATGAGCTGGTGTTGGACCTGGGTGCCTCCTCCACTGAGCAGGTTATTGGAGAAGGTATCTGGCTGGATGGGCAGCTCCTGTGCTTGACCTCACACCTCTTCAGTCAGCAGATCCAGGAGCTTTGCCTGGCTTTGTCAGGGGCTGCACAGGGAGGGAGCACTTGCTCCTCCTGTTTTTGTACAAGTGATGCTGCAGATTGTCTGTCAGGGTAGTCCAAGGACTGGGAAGAGTTTGTCTGGGGCTGGTCAGCCACGTGCCCAGCAGGCTTAGCACTGCACTGAACTGCAGCACCCAGTGAGGTACTCGTGCTGGAAAAGAGCCTTTTATCTCCCTCCAGCTCTGGAAAAGCTAGTACCTATAGAGCACAGGTGAGGAGAAGTGGGAAGAAGGACTCTCTTGGAGATGCCATCATTATACTCATCCCTCCAAGATTTGCAAGATCTGGCCACTGTCTCAGCATTTTACGGGCAGTTTATGCCAACTGTTCTCCTGACCTCCACCTGACCAGGGAGGGGGGTGTGAAGGCTGATGCAGGATGATCACCACATATTTTGTTTATTCTTTATTATTTATTTATGCTCTGGGCAGCAGGGAGAGGGAAACACTGGAGAAGGCTGACATACTGCCCACAGATACACCTGGGAGTTAGTTTAACACCTGTGTGTTAGTTTAACTCTGCCTTACCTAGACTTGGTGTCTGGAGCTTCCTGTTGTTATAAAAATCTGACCTGAAGCTGTCAGACTGAGTGCCTGTACAAGCGTGTGGAATCTGCTTCTAAAGCCACATTGGCAATCAGTTTGCACCTGTAGATCAGCCAAGGTGTTTTCTCAGTGCTTTCAACTTTTCCAGATTCAAAAAGCTGCCATAAGCTGCTGAGTCTTTGACTTGTGAACAACTACATCCTGGTGGGCTAGAGGTGGACCCCACCCCAGGATACAGCCCAGTGGATCTCAGCAGCATCACTGAAGAGCTCTGTCCTGGTGGCAGACAGGTCCCATGTCTGTGGCCACTCAGCCCTCTGGCTGGGATTCTGCTTTCTCAGCTAGGCAGCAGAGAAGACAATTTGCATCAAATCTTGAATTTCTGTAGGCTGACTGCACTGCAGTTTGACTTGATGAAACAGGAAAAGTCCACCTTTTGTGGACATTTTTAACTTTCAGACATAATATATTGAAATGTAAAATGCATTCAAATTAGAGACTAGGTGTAACAATCTTAGTGGCTGACCACAGCTGGAATTTAGTGCTGAGCTAGGAACGCAGTGCAGACCAGCTTTAATTTGGATCAGATGGCATGCCAGAACGTGTGCACTGAATCTGGAAGGATTTCTGTGGGTGTGGCAGGGGGTAGCCAGCACCACAATAGCAGCACAGATCTGAGCAGTCAGCCTAGCTCTATTCCATGAAACTAAGCATTGAATAGATACCCCACCCCAGTAAAGTAGAGATTGATCTCAGCAGGATGGCCCAGTCAGATAATTGTGTCAATAAGAAGGGGGAGTAAAATATCTTCTCACTTTTCTGAAAACCCCTGGGGTCTCCCAAAGCAGGACCAGCTCAGAGGAGTGGGGCTGTGCAGGAAACAAGGAGTAGAGAGGCTCCTGGGGAAGGACCTGTACTTTGCAGCCTCAGAAAGGTGCAGGGAGGCAGGTGCTGCCCTTTGGTGCATAGACCAACTACTCATAAAAAACATTGAGCAAAAAATTATTTTGAACCCCCTAATAGTGCTTTGACCCAATTATTGAGCTTGTTTGGACAATCTGGTTTTATTGCTCTCTGTAGATTTTCTCAAGAGGCTGAGAACTACCCTCACACAGTGGCAGTAAAAGAAACTCATCTGACTAAATTTCATATAGTGCTCCACAAACTGACCAAGTGCAGAAATATCAAGCCAAGAGATACAAGTATGTGTGAAATGGGAAAACTCTGCCCACTGTTGCTACCCACAATGCAATAAAGCTCTCCCACTAACAGAGCATAAGACTCTTATGCGTTATTAGCTAATTACAGACAGGAGATTCATTCAGCACTGTTGATAGCAGAGTGCTGCCTCTACTTGATACTAGTCAAGAAAATATTGCATCTGTCTTGAAAAGGAATTTCACCACTTCTGCTTGGAATGGGAGAGTTGTGAAGTATCTCAATAGTAAATAAGCATCAGAATTGAATGAAACATTTTCATTTATTTTTTGCATCCTATGCTCAGTGACTTTAGCTAGTTATAAGGACTCTAGAGAATAATGTCCAGCAAATATCCTCATTTTCTGCCTATGAGATGCCAGAAATATATTGTGACTTTATTTGTTAACTCAAATGCTTTTACACCTTTTGGACTAATGATTATAAGGAAGGTACTGATAAAACAGTAAGCAAAGGGTATATCTGACAGTCCAATATGTTGCTACATGTTGGAGAAGAAAGAATAAAAATCACTTTGGTTTCAGCAGACTGGTTTACTTTGAGTTTAACATTTGGGATTCCAGCTAGTACAACTGGAGCTGATGCTTGTGGTAGACTTGCTGACACTGCCTTCTTGGTCTCAAGTATCCCCTGTATCTTCACCTTTATTCTGCTAAATAATACAGCCCACTGTCTGCAGTTCCCCTGGAGTCATTTCAAGGAGTTCTTAGAGTCAGCTGTAATTCTTTCAGTAACTCAATCCAGGATGGGTTCTCACTGTTTTGTAATGCTCTTGAACTCCATTGCTCCTTGGAAGCAGCTGATAAATTAATGTAAACAATGGCATTGGGATAATAGATTATACCACTTTTTTATTTTTTTGTCTGTAAACAAAATAAGACCCATTTCCACTGGGAATGCAACTAGCCTGGTAATGGGATTCCAGGCTATGCTAGCTTCAAAGTCCACATCTTTTTATCAAAAGAGGAAACTGTCCTGAATATTAACATAATCAGGGTCCCACACTTGTAAAGAACAGCAATGGGATAAAACATGGAAATAAAAATATGAGATGAGACATCTTTTCTTGAGAGCCCAAGTGTTATCAATAGATGGTTGCAAGAAAATAAAGCATTTGCAAAGATACCAGCACTTCTGTGTCAGCTGCTGAGCGTTACTCCTCCTCCTCACCCAATTGCTGACAGATTAAAATAGCTTGGATCAGCAGCTACAGAAGAACTCTTTTAACATCTCCTGCTCCAGATATGAGTTGCTTTTTCCTTGCTAGCCCTTGTCAGGCTGGGAAAGAAAGGGATGCATCTGAGGCAAGATTGGAGAGGTGCAGACCATTGGAAAACAGCATGAGCCTGCTGCTGAGCTCTAGCAGTTCAGGAGAGGCTGGGATTGACAGGTAAGCATGGGAAGGAGAAACAGTCCTGCCCTTACCTCATCTTCCCAATATTTAGCCTCTTCTCAAACTTTTGGTGACATATGCCCCATTACAGCAAATATGTAGCTACAGATGAACTGCAGTTGCCTGGGTTACTGTGTTACATAGCACAGCAACAATCCAATGCCAAGGTGAAGGTAGCAGTCCTTTAGGATATATCTATATTCACAGATATTTCTATATTTCTTCAGGATATATCTCTGCTGCTGCTGAAATCATACCTGTAGTCATAGCTCTGCCTGAAGACAACATAAAATCCCTATGGAAAAGATACATCTTCCTTTAACCTGAGCAAACCTGTATTAATGCTATTCACTTTAGTGAATTACTCTGGAGCAGCACAGTTTTGTGTCAGTGCAATTATTGGGGCTGGTAGGTGTAAAACACTCTGGGTGGGAGGACACTGGCTTCTACCTGTATATCTTAAAGTGCTTTGCAATACTGAGAACAAGACTAGGTACATTTCTCCAGTCTCATATCATCTGAATAATACATATGATTTTTTTTTTTTTTGAGAGTGGAATACATGTACTTTTGCAGAGTCTGATACCCAGGATTCTTTTGTATGTGTGAGCATTCTTTCTGTCTTCCTGACAGAGTCTCATGAATTTTAACTCAGACTAATCCTTCTCTTCGCCCTCACTGCAAAAGAAAAGGAAGGGAGCTATACCTGTCACAAAAATGCTTATCTAAAATATCTTCTTTCTATTTTAAGTTTATTCTGCAACTTAACAATGGGACACCTGGAACTACCACCTGAATGTATAGACAGGTTCTTAAAAAAAATTCTTCTGTTTTTAGGGTACAGAAATCTGTTCTGTGGCAAGGAGGGGAGAATTTGGAGGGATATAGCTGTCAAGATGTTTTTATAGGATGTTTTATCTTTGGCAAAAGTACCTGTGTTATGGTGAGTAATACCATGAAATCTCTCCCCTGCATCCCATTTCTCAAATGCTGGAGAACCTGATATCTCAGCATGCTCAGTACAGTGCAAAAAACACCTACTGAAAGCAGATTAGAAAGATCTTTTATATCTTCCTGAGATATTGCTCTGTCTTTCAGTAAGTTTTTACATGTGTCTTGGATGGAATTTTTAGAGGTTTTGAAGGTTCTTGAGACTGTTAATAATACTGCTCAGGGCCTCAGGGAATGAACAAGATGGTCTAACAGGTTGTTTCCATCTCTTATTTCTGTGTCTCTTTGATTTAAGGATTTTCTGCATTTATTGGCTGTTGGTTCTCTTGGCCACTTTATACACTGTGTAGTGATTTTCACAATCATAGGGAATAGCAGAGGCTACTTGAAACCCACCGTTGCCATAGAAACACAAGAGCATCTAGCTGGCTCTACCCTCACTCTCCCATACCAGCCCCCATAGGAAGCAGAAATTCAGGCCTTAAAATTTAATCAATTTGATGTTAAGTTTTAGAAGCTATTTTCTTTTTGTTGCCTTGTCTCCTGATGCATGTTTTAATGCAGATTTAATTATTTACACTACTAATATTTTATTTAAATTACAGTAACTAATTATTAGCACCAGTAACACTGTAGATTCC